TGGCTGCTCACAGCTTAGACATGGTCCTTGAGAACWAGGGTCTGTCTGAGTCACACTTAGGAGTCCTATGGTGCTCAGCACGAAGTGGATGCTCTGAGTTATTTTCCAAATGAATGGACCATGTTCTTCCCTAACCTGGTTCGCTCTGCTGGTTGGACTCCCTTACCTGTGGAATGCAAATTACCCTGGGAAAGTAAAGCTTTCAGGAGTCATGGATACAGCGCTACCTGAGTGTTCACTTTAACTATTTCAGTTAGTGTTTGCTTCCCCGCACCAGAGCCTGAGCACCTGGAGTCCCCAGCCGTCCWGACCCCAGACAGGTGAGTTTACCAATCTCAAACCAGGTTCAGTGTCTCTCTGACACCAGGTCATAAAAGCTCAAATTCCATACCAGCTCAGAGTCTGACTCATCCCTCTGAGCCGACCGTATCTCCTGATAATATACCAGCTCACAAGTTAGCCAACGGGAGAGGGCCAGGGAGCAAGATGCTTTCCTTCCCTAAGGAGGCAGGAAGGAACAGGAGAGAGAAAGGCCTCTCTGGGTAGCCAAATGCACTGACGGAGAGAAGGAGAGAGAGGAGAGGTGCGGCCTCCGCCATGGACACGGGCTCTGGCCTGCACCTCCTCCTCCCTGAGGGGCGGCCTCCTGCAGTGGTGGCTGTGGAAGAGGGACAGCCCTTCAGGAAAGTATCTGGCAGGTTTCTGAAGTGGGCTGCTGTTCCAGGACTGGAGTCCAGGGAGTCCGGCTGTGCCTGGGCCCTGGCGGAGGCTTCTGTCGGTCTGAAGTGAGAAGTACTGCCCCTGGCAGTTCCAGCAGGTCCCACTCTAAATGTTCTCTGATCTCTGTTTCAAAAGCAGGAAGGAGGCTGCCATGCCAGAGCTCTGTGTTGTTTAAAAATAGATGTAGCGTTCCTGTTTTCCCCACCGCTCAGATTTCTCTCCTGGCTCCCTGGGGTCTCCTACAGATATAAAAGTACAAGGAACGAGATCTCTTTCCTGTGCTGCCTGTAGTCGGAGCGTTCTCCGGGCTCAGTGGAAGACACAGCACTGTTCCTGAGCCTGGGAGCAGCAGCTGTTTTGATCTCCTTCCTTTTCGGTTTACAAACAAGTGTCCCGTCCTCGCCTGGCCCTCCTGGTTTCCCTGGGCCTCTGGTTGGAGAACATGGGATGTGCACTTCCCCCACCTTGGTTACAGTACACCTGCTGCCTGATCAATGTTCCTAATTATTCCTGTAATAATTGGCTTCCGAAGAAAGCCGAGGCCACACCCATCTCCTGGCCCGTCCCGGAGGTGGCCGGCCCAACTCTGTCCTACTGATCCCTAGTGCTGGTAACATTTTAACCTGCCAYCTGATACATTGTCCCTTCTCTGCGATACATTGTTTTTTCTTTCCTCTGAGTCCTTCAGGCACTAAGGCTGATGCAAGTTAGTTTTCATGCCCTAGAAAAGGGGAGAGAAGATAAGACCTGGAATAAAAAAGYCATTTCTCTTCTTTTGCTTCAAACTAGACATTGAATGTCCACGGCATTCTGTAGACTTGAAAGTCCAGCTTTCAAAGAGGAAAGGAGGTTTCTACAACTCCTCAAGCTGGACTGTAACTCATCAAKGCCTGGAGAGCGGCCCGCGGAGTGGAGCACAGGGCCGAGGTGACCCGGGCGGAGGTCAGGAACTCCCACACAGGAAGGAGGAAGAAGGCCCTGCCATGCTGCGTTGTGCAGGGGAAATGCTGAGAC